GTACCTGGCGTCTTGTTCTGGGCTACCAGCCGGGCCGCCCGGGTCACCTTGTCGATATTCGATATTGGATCGAACGTACCTGGCCACCAAACGAGTAAAATTCCTTTTTTTTTAATGGATTTTAAAAATGTGATCAATTGACTAGAAGCTTCACCCGCTCGCGAGGAGACTAACATCGCGGCCAAAGCCTCGACAGCTTGTTCCCCGTTAACCAAAAAAACACCAGTTCTGAACAAATCCAGCTCAGATAAATGGATTCTTTGGCCTTTTCTTTTTTATCCTTATCCTTATCCATACTGCATTCTTCTTATTTTTCCTTTTCTTTTAAAATAACCTCCGGTGGGGGTTATTGATGAGGGTGATACAAGCATTCCTGAGCAGTACCCACCTTACAGGGGTTCCATCTATTAGTGAGGAGCGGGACTTTCTGGAAACCGCCGGGTCCACCGTCCCCCCCCCCCCCCCTTCTGTACATAAATGATACAAGACAAGATTACAACAGTGATAAAAATAATAATTAAAAAAAAAAAAAAAAAAAGATTACAACAGTGATGCATAAAAGAAACACAGACATCGGGGTCATTACCCTTATCCTTCTTACTGCATTCTAATTGAGTTACTTTGATTTGATCAATCGATTTAATTGATTTAATGAATTTTCCTCGTGATTTATTAAATTCATTAATTGATTTGATGAATTTTCCTCGTGAAATTTTTGTAATGAGATGGAAATGAATCGAACTCTACCCGAGCCGCACGCCCTTGCCGAGGGATGGCGAGGAGCTTACCCAGCTGCCAGGAGAGCCGCAGCAAGCAGAATCTTCACTGTGTGTTCCTTTACAAAAGCCCTCAGTTTTTCACCGAGTCCAACGGCGGAGGTTGCCTTTCCCTCGCTGACGCCTTTTGTTGTTGCCGCCGATTTCTGCTTCGGCGACGTGTACGGCACCAGAGTCGTCGTAGTGCCGCTGGTCGGGATCGGGACTGAGGCAGAGAGCGGAGGAGACACAGCAGCAGCCGCAGCCGCAGCAGATGAAGAAGAAGAAGAAGGAGCAGGAGGAGGAGGAGGAGAAGGGAGCACGGCGGTGGCAGAATCCTTCCCCCCCGTTAAGACTGTGCCCACACCTAACAAGCCACCATCACTCTCCTTCTCGCGCTTTGTCGGCGTCTGAGGAGATGGCGACGAAAGGACGAGCGACATTCCACTCGTTTTGTCCTTGTCTTTTTCCTTCTTTCGGACCCCTTTCTCCTCCACGATACCTCCTGCCCCGCTGCCCAAGATCAGCGACGAAGGAGAGGACTCGATCTTTGCCGCCAACCCAAGATCAACGAGATCATCCACCACCTCTCCTAATACTCCATTTCCGCTCACTTCGGTCGCCAATCCGGCGATGCGCTCCCACTTCTTACTTTCTCCATCGGGAGCACTTGGGGGCGGCGCCGCCTCTGCCGCCGCCGCCGCCGCCAAACCACGGCCCTCTTCGACAATTGCGCTGCCCACCTTCGTCTCCTCATTGCTTGGGCCCCCCATCTCGTCGGCTTCGATCGTTGTCGTTTTCCCCAGCATATCGCTTGCCTTCACCTCCGAGATCAGTGTCATTCCGTGGCCATCTTCCCCTTCTGACGTGTCCTCCCTCCCCTCCTGCCTCCCCTCCTCTCCTCCCTTATCCTCATCACGGTCCAAGACGACCACTTCGCTAGCCTCCTCGTCGTCAGCGAACCGAACATCGACCATTGTGAGCGGCCCCTCCTCTGGCGCGTCCTTCCCAAGGGTCCCCCCGCCTCCGACCTGCGCCTGCGCCAACTCCAAAGCCTTCTTTTCCTCCGCTTCCGCTGCCGCCAAGGTGGCCGCTGCGCTCTCCACCTGCGCCGCCAACTTCTCCGCCTTCTGCAGAGCGATCTCCGCATCACTCACCCTGTGGCAAGCCTCCACTTCCTCCGCTACTGCCATCTCCGCGCGCAGCATTGCCTCTCCTACCAGTTCTTCCGCGCTCGTCGCCTCCGCCCAAGCCGCGCGCGCTCTCTCCCCGGCTGATTCCGCCTCGTCGCGCAACATCTGCGCCTTCGCCGCGGCTCGCTGCGCAGCCTCCCTCGCTTCGACCATCTGCTTCTCAATCGCTACAGCCTCTAGCCTCAACCTCTCCACCATCACCGCATAACCGGAGCTGACCTTCAGCACTTCCTCTTCCTCTTCCTTCTCCTCCTCCTCCTCCTCCTCCTCCTCATCCCGCTCCTTCTCCTCCCTCCCGATCATCGCCATCCCGGTGTTCTTTCCGCCCTCTCCTGCGTCATCTTCAGCAGCCTCGTCCGCGCCCTTCTCGACTCGCCCCGGATCTTCCGCCTCCTCAGCCACCTCCCCGCCCTTCTCTCCAACGACAGAAGCAGCCACAGCCACACTTTCACCCTCCCCGCCTTCTTCGCCCCCCTTAGCTCCGTCTTCCTCCAGTGTCGTCTCTGACTGGCCATTTTTCTCCTCCGTCTCACCTTCCTTCTCCTTGTCGGTCGTCAGCAGATTACCTTCATCGCCTTCGACCGACGCTGTGGCGATGGCGGCAACAGCTTCGTCGTCATCATCTCCGACCTCGTCGTCCTCTTTCTCTCTTACCTCTTCCTCCCAAGCTCGCGCTTCTCTGATTGCCTGCGCAAGATCCGCCTCCGCCTCTCTCACCTTCTCCACCGCCGCGACGTATTGCGCTTGAACTTGCTGGAACAGGTTTCCACTCTCGAGCTCAGCAGCAGCCGCTTCTTCCGCCGCCGCTTTAGCAGCATCCGACTCGAGCTCCATCTTCTCCGCCTCCTCCCGCAGGGACACCGCGCGCTCAGCTACAGCCTGCGCCTCAGATTCTAGCGCCCCGCTGTGCGCTCTCAGTAGTTCCAACTCCTCTACCGCGGCTCTAAGGAGCTCCCGCATCACCTCCACAGGCTTCATCACCTCCTCTTTCTCATCATCGCTGCTATCTCCCTCTTCGTCTTCCGCTTCCGCTTCCGCTTCCGCCATTACCGCGGCAGCAGATGGAGAAGCATTACCATTATTTCCCCTCCCCGCAACCTCATTCCCTCTGGACGTGGATGTGGAATCCTTCTCAACCTCTCCCGTCAGCGAATCGGCGACTATGGAGCCCTGCGATCCAGACGAATAAGAGGAAGAAGAAGGAGAAGAGGAGGAGGACGGGGAGGAGGAGGAGGAGGAGGAGGAGCCGTTGACATCATTATCACCAACAGCTGTCCAGGAACCCGCCGCCATCGGCTGGATCAAGCTGCCTGAGGAGGAGGAGGAGGAGGACAAGGACAAGGACGAGGAAGATGGGGAGGACAAGGATGAGGACGTTGAGGAGGTCAGGGACTCGATCCCTTCACCCGTGGCCAGGGAAACACCATCGCCATCCTCTACTGTTAAGGGCCATGATACCTCCTGATTGTTGTCCTCAGCACTCCGCAAAACGACAGATTGCCAACGGCCAGGGCAACCTTCCAAGCTTCTTCTTCTCCTCCCGCCATATGCCCCGCCTTCCAAGCCTCCCCTCCTTCTCCCCCCATCTGCGCCGCTCTTAGCACCTGCTACATCGACTCTCCACTTCGTTTGCTGACGTATATAGTCGGCCCCGACGGCGAACCCGATCAATCCTGTCTGCTCAGCGTCTCTCTCCGTCTCCGAACGTCCAACTCTGCAGTGGCCTCCCCCGACCCGCTTGCGCGCTTTCACTACCACCCATTGGCGCACTTCAGATCTTCGTCTGCCGCCGGAGGACGTTGTCGCAACGCAGCTGGGTGACGTCAACACGAAGCTGGAATTGAGAAAGCGGTGTCCGCGGGAGCAACACGTTTGCCGCAGCTGATCCTCCGCGTGGCCGTAGAGATCCCGACCGGATATCCCGCTACGCTGACAAGCGTCGCAACACCCGGCAGCTGGCGGCGCTGCGCGCCTCCCCCTCCCGCCCAGAAACACCCCACCCCGTGCCGCCCCCCCGCCCCCAGCAGCAGCCGCAGCTGCGCGTCTCCCCGTCCCCGATGATCGCCCGCTGTTGCTCTCCCATGTCCCGGCGATCCCGACAGCCCCCCCCGGTCGGGACACAACAGCCAGTTGACAAGCCATCACAACCTAACAGAGAAGCAACGACCGGACGATGCGCATAGCGCCACGCTGGAGCACCGAGTTCTCCGCTCTGACTCTTTTTTTCACGGAAAACCACCCATCCTATGTACTCTGTTTTTCCAATCAATCAATCGACAATGGTCATCTGCTAATTGATATTCGTTGATCGATCGGCGGACCGAACGACAGACCGGACTGAGATCACGTCAGACCGGACTGCGATCGCGACAGTCGTCGACCTGTCCAATCCATTCCTTTGATCACCCCAACCCCACCATGTCTGCAGAATTGAGGAAGGCACTGGATATGTATGAAAGACTGGGTTTGTGTGTGTGTGTTTGGCGGGAGAGGAAGGGGCGAGGAGGGGGCTGGGTGGGCGCCTGTGTGGGGCTGTCTGGGTGCAGGTGCGTGTGTCGGTGGGTGGGGCTGTGTGCCTGTGTGTGTCTGACAGAGAGGCAGCACTTCTCAGCGTTGCCGACCCAACCATGCAGCGTTCCAGCACATGCCCATCACACAGACGGACCCCGCCACCAACACTTAGAGACGCGGGGTGCTACCTAGATCTATCCTCGAGAATTTGCTTGGCTCCCTTTCGCCGGGAGGACCCGACGCCGCGGATGGCGCTACCTAAAACAAACAGACGAGATTCAAAAATAAACAAATCCGACAACAGAACATAAAATAAAAAGTAACCTATCGTTGGGGCCTACGCCCTATGTAACTGTATAACTTTTTTTTTCTGTACAACTCCCCCCCCTTTCGCTAAAAGGCCGACGGCCTTGAGAGATTATTGGTTGGCCTCCATTTGAGTTGTACCTCTCACAGTTGAGACATATACCAAAATGTCCCTAAAAGATGTGGGTGGAGCGTAATACCCTTCCGACAATAAAAATTCCTTGCAAAATCCCCTTCACGTCTGTTGGACCGACCATCTTTGCAATATTCCCTTACACATACCGGTACCGGTCCATCTTTTCAAAATACCCCTGTTCACGGATTGTAGGGTTGCAATATTCGTCGTCTATTCGCTCGCAGCCCATAGGGTTGCGTTTATTCGCAGCTCGTAGGGTCGCGTTTATTCGCAGCTCGTAGGGTTGCGTTCATACACCTGAGTCATTTTCATTTTCATTCATTATACCGGTCGTTCGTACGGGCCCAATGGTCATTGGAAGGGTGTTAAAATTCCCGGCAGGGGCTTCTAGGGGGACAGGCAGTCCTTGCAGGCTCAGGACCAGTATTGGCCGCGGTCCTCCAAAGGAAAAAAAAGAACGGTGCACAGCCCTCCGAGCCTCAAGTTGATCCACTTGAATACAACAGCACTTCGAACAAAACGCACCTGTTGTATTTGAATACAAAAATTCACTCAAAAAGGAAAAACTCTTGTATTCGAATAGAACATTCCTTCGTTTCCTGAGGTTAGTGTTTGCGCTTGTGCTCCCGGTCACTGACACACTGCGTGCTCGCACACACACACACATTGTCTACCGTGTGGGCGCGGGGAACGCAGCCCTAAGGTAGCCAAATCAATGAGACTAAGAGCTAACACGAGAGAGAGAGAGAGAGAGAGAGAGAGAGAGAGAGAGAGAGAGAGAGAGAGAGAGAGAGAGAGAGAGAGAGAGAGAGAGAGAGAGAGAGAGAGAGAGAGAGAGAGAGTTTTAATCATGTGGCTTCCACCTTGCATTAGGTGTATGCCACCAAATTTTTGGATCATTTGGGCCAGTAGAATAAATAATAAAAATCTTTAAAGATTCATTCCCCATCTATACCCCTCCTATCCCCACCAAAACCCCTTCTACCCCCCCCTCCCCCCCCAAATACCACCCTATCAGCAAATGCTTAGAAAAATCTGAATTTTTCTGTGGGGGGTCTCTAGGCCATGCGCAACACTGTTATTTTTTATTTATTTTTTTATTTTTATTTTTTTGTGCCAAAAATGCGTCGTCCGGAAATCCGGATGACGGGGGGGGGAGACATCCGGTGGAGACGTCCGGTCTCAGGACCATTGGTAACCTAGACGAGTACTCCAATTTTCAGGTTTTTTCACTCATTCTTCTGAGTGTGAAAACTCGCTGAATTTGGAGTACTTTTTTAGTTGGCCCAGGCATGGCTGAGTGGCAAAAATGGAAAATGTGCCGAATCGGCGCGACGATTATTTCGCAGTGTAAATGATTTTTTGTAAATGTTCTATTATTATTTCTGGAAATAACACGACCTCATCTATGGATTCTCAAAATTTCATATTTTTGTGCGTGTTCGTCCGAGCACAAAAAATCGTCAAAGTTGCCTCTTACAAAACGCCTATTTCGTTGTGCCTGACCTCCCTGTTTTGAGAAGACGGGGCTCAATGCCTGGGCCTGAGGGCCCTTTTGCAGTTCACATGCCCTCACTTCTTTTTGGGGTCCGCTTCTACCTGGGGACCGGTCCAACGCCCCCCACTTCTTTTCGGGGTCCACTTCTTGGGGGGGGGGGGGAACAAAACAAAAGAGTGTGTGTGTGTGTGTACATGTATGCACGTGTGTATGTGAGAGTAAGTGAATGTGTGTGTGTGAGAGAGAGAGAGAGAAGCAGCATGTTAGTGCCAAGGAGCCCCCAAGGGCAGATACTAACCTTTAAAAAAAAAAAAAAGTTAATATTTCAATAGAATACAAAAGTTTTTTATTGGCGAAATTCAAATAGAAACATACATGTTGTATTCGAATACAACGCGTACGCGGTCTATTTGAAGTGCACTTCTATTTGAGAAAGTGGAACCACACCGTTTCGATTTTAAAATGTTAAACTCGAGAACGGCGACATCCTCAGCCTTCTACAGACACTTATCGGTCCTCCGCAAGTAACACATGCCTGTTCCTCATGAATTGCCCCCAAAGCAAATTCACCATCCCCTGGACCTGGATTGATTGGTACTGTCAAACGACAAAAAAATAATTCAGGGGTATAACATGCACTCTTGACGGGTTGTGAACATCAATAGACAAACTATGGGCTACTCAGTTATACCCTCACAGTAAGGCAATACACTTGAGTCATTTTCTTCATTCGTTACTTCGATCGTTCGTAGAGACCCAGTGATTATTGAAAGGGAAGGCAAAGGTTTTTTGGGGGCCGGACAATCCTTGAAGGCGCAAGACTGGTATTGGCCGTAGTCTTGTTATTAGAAAGAAAAAAAATGGACTACCCCTGAGCCTCGAACTTAGAAGTTAGTCTACCTTTCTGTGATAGAAAGGCATTTCGAATAGAACGTAATGTGTTGTATAATTGTAGTATTTGAATACAAACCGTGCGCTTACGATACGAATTATGAGAATAAAAATTTTTATTTTTGAATATAACTTTTTTTTTTCCTCTAAGGTTAGTGTTTGCAAAGACACCACTTTTGGAGGTTCAACAATGTGTCACCCCGAGTGAAGAGGGAAGACACGCAGTTTATAATAAAATTTTACATGCTTATTTGTCAAATTTATTATGATTTTTGCAACCCGTCTGAACTATAATAACATTAAGTCATTTGAGCATTCAAAGTGACATTTTGTTCCACCAGCATGGTACACGGTGCTATTACTGGTACCTTGTCTCATGTTGGCCTCCACCACTGTCACCTCCTTACCACATAGCCAATTATTTATCTTTAAGAGTATCAAGTTGCCGTTTAAATTCACCACTCTTAGCCACCTACCAACATACACCCGAGAATGTTCCGCATGAAAGATTTTTCACCCATAAGAGATGCTATCTATCACTAACCTCACTCTCTAATTAGTACCCCGTTAATAATGTCGTTAATATCTAAATTTTACAGGGGCTCTCTATATCTCAAACTCACTATCTCACAGATTTCAAACAGATAAGACTTCTCAATAGATCCATATGCGGCCAAAGTTTTTAGAGGAGTCATGACAATAATGGTGTAACTTTCTTACGAACAATCCAAACATTTTTAAAAAATGTGTTGGTTCAATGCTTCCTCCCTAGTCTTTGGTGGTTCAATTTGGTCTCGTATCACTCGTAATCATGCCGACAAAATATTTTTTTATATCAGTGATTTACCGTTAAAAAAAAAAAAAAAACAGGTTAACAATCTCACTCATACATTTTCTGGTATTGAAAGTTTTTTTTTTTTTTTTGCATATATTGTTATAGGTTACAACCTTATCCATCAAAGGGTGACGCGACCCGTTCATCAAAATAAGGACAAGCCATTTGGCCCGAGATGCATTGAGTTGCAATCTTGATTCCATAATACCAAGTCGCTACTTGTTGTTGTCCCCTAACGCCCAAATTGTCTCCAGGTAAACCTTTTCATTAGTATTTTGTTAAAAAAAAAAATATCTTGTCATAAGCATTCCTTTATAGTTGCCTAGAAAACCAAAGTACTAAATAGTAGTGTTTAAGACTCTCCCTAGTCTTGCAATAACTTTATAACCAATTGATGTTCTTGTTTGTTTCTTGGTATTAAATATATGAATCTGCACTCCTAAGAACCTCTCACAATCTTTCACAAGTAGGCATTTAAATACCTTGTCACTACAAAATCTTAATTTATGAGACCAATAGACAAAAATCTCCATAATATTAAAAGTAAAAATCAAGATTGTACTTCACTGCACCAAAAAATGTCCCTATATTAGTTGATAGTGCGAAAAAATCATTTGTCATTACAAAAGTCTTGCATTATCTTCTCTTATTATTTTCTAATTCATGTATGTCAGATTGTTTTCTTATCATGAAGAATTTAAATTTTCATTTGAATGACAAAAAACAAAAGGGTAACTTAAAGTAGACACTTTTGCCTTCATTAACAAGATAATAAAATAAGTTAAAAAATATTTTCATTAACCATCACTTTCCCCATCCTTTTTTTTCATACATGTACTTCAAACTGATTTTCTTTCATAACTTTCAATACCTCTACTATATAAACAACATATTGTTAAGGATAATTATTCCTTGTACGATGTCGACCTATTCTTCCCAGACTAGCTTTAGGAGGTAAAGCTTCAACTAATTTTTCAGTGGTCATTCCAAGAA